TACTGAGAAGGAATCAAATCTGAGATGATCTGCATACATTAATTTAAGTGTGACCCAGCTGTACCAATATCAGGGCTCGAAATACCAAAAACCATTGACATCACTTCTTTGATACTTCATACATGGCAACAGTCAATGCAGAAAATAAAAATCTAATAAAAATCTACATATATAATATAGCTTCATGTATGACAAACCACCAGCAGGTTAGGTGAAGGTTAAGACAAAACCTGCACATTCCCAATTTTACCTGCACTAAGGTGCACATGCATCCTAGTATTTTGAGCCCTGAATTATATGCATGTCATAACACATCATACTGACTATCTACAGTTAAGTGGGTACATGGAAATGCTGTTAATGCTATTTTTCTAGCTGACGTGAAGGGACATTCATTATCAAAAAAATCTGGGATCAGAAAGGCCAATATGAATATGATTAATGTCCTTTTACCCCAGAGTCCCAGACTGCCTTCAGAAATTTGACCTGTCTAGTATCCAAGGCTTGAAGCTACGCAAGTGCACTGGAGTCCAGAAGATGTACATTGTAACCTTCAGATTTAGCATTATGTATGCATGACCAGTGGCTATTTCCACTGAAGTATCTCTATTGATGGCTTACGGGTGCATTTTCAATTCTGGGTGGTAGCGTTTGATTTCGAAAAATACTAGTGTGATCACTTTTGTTAGAACTCTATCAGCGGCAAGAAATTGTCATTCTAATAATTACCTATTAATGATTACCATCCAAAATTTTGAAAGGATAGCAAGCTATACTGTTCAAGAACCAAGCTTAGCTGTATAATGTAAATCAAATGTCAATGAAACATGTAATTGTGCAAAGGCACATACAAGTGAACAGTCAATATATATAGTAATTTGTTACTAGAGACATTTTAAATGCCATGCAGAGGTAATTTCCAGACAGAGGTAATATGACTCAATCATGTATGTAAACAAAAATGATCCCTTATCAAATCATTGCAGGTTACTCAAAAAAGCATTTACAACTTGGAACAGCAAGAATTAACATGCTGGCGAACAAAGATATGACCTTTCTCTCTAATATCTACTAGAATAAAAATACCTGCAATGCATTAAAAAACGTACTATTATGATGCATGGAAGAAATATGCTTGTAATGATTGTTTCTCAGCATTTCAAAAATGCCTAAAGCACAAAAATGTCCTGTTATGTGCATGTCTGGCAAAGTGTACATTTTTTATAAATCCATGGTTATTATCCTTTTGTAACAAATCGAAATCCTTAGACCTACAGTGCATTTTGCAAAGGTAGGAGGAAAAAAATATTTTCTGGTTTTCATTGAAGATAACTGTATAGCCAGAGTAACTACCCATTGACATAACACACCAGGTGATCCAATTGATTAAATTTTGCTACACAATTAAAAGGTACCACCAAAGGCTGGATTATTTTCTGGATTTCAATGGAAAGAATTGATGCAAATTTTGCTGGAGGCTTGAAGGTCACAGAATGTAAAAATCTGTTTGGTGCTGAATCTCAAGGGAAAGGATTACACACACATAGAATCCAACAGTTCCCATAGGAAATGCAAAACTATATGAATATACAGTACCAAATTACCCGACAATTGGACACAGATACAGTGATTTTCATGTCTGCAACACAAAGTGACTATACCTAGATAGCCTCCGTAGCAGGCTTATAGAACTGGGGGTTTGGTGGTCTTCGGCTGTTTTATGATTAGCCCAGTTCTAAAAACGGGGGTAAATTCAACCAGGCCGGCTATGCTGTCTAAATGCAATCAGAAAATAGCACATAAAAGCTCCCAAAGACCATGAAGACCCCCAAAACCCCCAGTTTTTGGCATGCTATGGAGGCTAATACTTAGACATGTCATTTCAGTATTACATTATGGAATATGCCATATCAAAATACAAAAACGACAAAGCAAAAGATGGAAGAGGGGATTGAAAGAGTGAACTCTACAGTTATAAATTATGAATGTGAGTATTACAACAAAAGGACTGTCATCTACAATTTTTCTGGAATTTTAATTGCTCTTGTACCTGATGGACTCTATGAAATAATAACTTTTACTATATCTAGTGACAATCATAGGACAGTAAATAACAATGACAAGAATTGGGTTGACAAATTGACATACAGGTGTCCTGGTTAACCCATCAAAATTGTTATAAATGAGTCCTGGGGGATTTCATATCTGTAATCTTACAAATCTCTCTTCTATATCAACATTACACAGGTGATCAAGAATCAGAATTTTTCGTCTATTCTGCAATTTCTGGTCTGGGACGAAGCAGAAATGACCGACAATTCTTGGATTTGTTGCAACGCAAAATTATTACCGATATCTCTGGCACCTTTAGAAAGACTAAGATTTTAATTACTAGTACATTTCCTGGAAGCCAAATAATTTTTCAAAATTACAAAAAATTGCATTTTTCGTGTGCTGCATTTCTACAGATGGGAGGATAAAGCAAGCCTGTTTCTGCCAAAATAGATTTTTAGCAATAATCGTTGGTTTCAACAAAAATAATCGCCACAAATTTTACATCCGAGCGGACCGGTGGGTAGAAATAATTGTCCATGCGGTAGACCGGGAAAACGAAAGTGGGATGGACGTCAAAGAAAAATCGAACATTAAAAAAAAACCAAGCTATTTTTCTGAAATGCTACCGGGTAATAAATTATACAAGAGAAAATTTCTCAAATCTTCCTACCCCCTCATAGCTTGGACAATATTTCACTGTGGATTCGGAAGAGGGAATTTGAAGCATCGTGGTTTTTGACACAAAATATCGGTGTTTCGAACGTGGATGTCAACGTTTGATCCAGCGAACGTTCGTTACCTTCGGATTTCAGCTTCGTCAGCACGTAGATCAGGTAGTTATTGAAGTCTGGATACTGATTTAACGATTCTAATTTCTGAAAAAGTGGTTAAGGATAGAATTCTGACCTAACACTTCCATGCAAACGCGGTATAACCGCGAAAATCTCGACATTATCTGGCGTTCTACAAGGTACAGTACCGCCTTTGGCGCACCAGAGTGATCACATGTCTCATGAGGTCTGGTCTAACGCCTCGGACACCCATCTAAACTAACGATTGGGGACACATCGATGGTGTCTAAAGGATACTTGTTGTACGGCACGCTGTGTCTCCGTATCTGGGGACTGGGACTCCTTGAGAAGCTGTAGAATCTGTTGAAGACCAGCCGGGTCAGGCTGCCACTCCATTTTGACTATTCCGGCTTCTTTTTCCGAGGATCGAGAAGTGCACGCACTGCGCCTGCGCACCACGGCTGGATGGTCTCACTTCGGCGTTTGTGTTCACCATATTACCTGATGGACCAAATGTGTGACCAGGTGATAACATTTGTTTTTGGGGGTGAAAATGTACCCATTTGGCCTTTGACGTTAACTTTTAAATTCTTTGTACCCCTACTGCTCACAATCAGCAGAAAATCCAGCTTTTTCCATCTTTCATAATAAAATCTATGTATTAAACCCCCTATTACCAGGTAAATACACCTATCAATACCACTCATCACAGACATACCATCCCATGCTAGTATATAAATTTGAATATTTTAGTGGTGAAGGCAAAAGTATATTCGTCTCTTTTGAAGGTTTTCTTTATATTTATATTATATAGATATATGTACTTATGAAAATATATCTTTTTTCTTTGAAAAATATTTTAAAGGCATCCAGTGCGATTTTTTTCACTAGTTTAGATCTATTAGGAAATAATAAAATGGTTTAGGTACTTGTACATAATTAAATCCATGCATTATTAAAGATTGAATGTAGATACAGCTACTGATGCCTAAGCTCATAGAAATTATGAAAATATGCTGATACAAAATATTATCAATTATGTCACAGATATATATCTTATGACGCTGCTAACATCAAAATAAATGTCACTACATTAGTGTGCTAATATTTTTATTCAGTAATTTTCTTTTGATTAAAAATCTCAATTTATTATTCTGTACATGGAAAGACAATAATTTCACTAGTAATGTTCTTCTGTCAACATTGACATTTGTAATTAACAGCTGTAGGTCTGTATCACATATAAAATACCCAGTATGTTATGACACTAACTTATATATTACAGATGTGTTAAAAAAACACCAATACAGCGTACCAATGTTAATCCTTTTATCGTACAATGAATTTCATTAAATAAAAAAAAACATGTCAAGAATTCATGTGTACAAGCGTACAAGTAACATTATATATACACTTGGCCCTAAAGGAACCTACATATATGTAGGTCTCATTGCAGAAGGCCTCATTTCAGTTTGTCAAGTTGCCTGGCATCTTTAGAAAATAATGCACAAGTGCTCAAGTCCTCAGCACTTCTGCAGGTCTGTGACCTCCAGGTTCCACATGACCTTGTGGTTGACCTGATCACTGAGATCCTGAACTTTGACAGCCTTTAGGACAGGTCTGGAGCCACACTGTAGAACATATCCCACCACCATCAGGTACATACCTGGGGAGAAAACACACAGACTGCATTTTTCATTGTTGTTGATACATTTGAACTTGCCATATATAAAAAATATGTATACAATACAACAAGAGGGGATTGAAAGAGTGAACTCTTCAGTTATAAATTATGAATGTGAGTATTACAACAAAAGGACAGTCATCTACAATTTTTCTGGAATTCTAACTGGAAATGTATTCTAAATTCTTGATGTGGAACACAGTTGTACCTTTATCAAATTTGTTTTTAGCCTTGGGGATGTTTTTAATCTGCTCAACTTGGGCAGTTCCTTGTCCATCATCCACAGTGAGCCAGTCTCCAGCAACATCACAGTCCACCACAGTACCCTATTGTGTAAAGACAAGCACATCAGAAAGGATGGTATATGCACTAGTGCTGTATTATGTAGGGTTTCTGGAAACAGTCGGGGTGACCTGGTGGACTAAGCTACTTTGCAAGTCTTTTGAGGCCCCAAAGACTCTCTCAGTGAAAGATTGTGTATCACTGGATAATTCAAGTACAGTTAATGATTACTAGTATTCACAAATCACAAATATTATATGGCTTACTGTTCAGCATTATTTACATAATATTGCAGCATTTTCCAAAATATTTATACAGACACATCTTTCCAGAGGGCAACATGTACTAGATTACATGTGTCAGTATATATATTCAACTTTCAATTACATACTTGTACCCAGACCAAGTTGACGTCCCATGTTTTTGTGGATACTGGATTCAGCTGCACACGCCACAAAGTTGTCCCTGCAGCCCCGACACTACTACCTGTAGCAGGTGGAAGTTGTGTTCCTCCTGCTAGCTGGGAGATAAAGACCTTCCTGGCTGGGACTTTCCACTTCTCTCCCATTTCTCATCTGAAAAAAATTCAAAAAGTATAAAAGGTGTGGGAGGGGGGCGGTTTTCATTTCAACACGAAATCACTTCTACAGCATCTGTAGTGCTACAAACTTTCCTATAAACAGCGAAAACTATAAAATCTGCATAAATGTCAATTTTTTAAACCATAACGAATGACAACCAACAAAAACTGTCTATGTGTCGTTACTGTCGTACCTTTTCCTGAAACACTAATTTTTGTGTCTTCCCTTTGCCTCTTTGAAATTTGGCGCGGTCTGTAACCTTTGACCTTTCGTGCGGTAAGCTACTTCCGGCTTCTTCTGATTAAAAAAAAACGATTGATTCGGCCCAGTAAAAAAGTAAAACGTTTAAAATCAACATAAAAGCTTAGTTTTGAACATGTAAAATAGAAATTTAGTACTTCTTTTTCAAATGTAACGCACTGATTTTGATATCAAGGTGATCTATATCCCATGATGCAATGCGGTTGGAGTCCTGTCGCCAGGGTGACGGCGGGACGGAAAGATCGGGACGAAAGAAGGTTCGTACTATAAAAGTTAAATAACCAGTTAACCTGTTTTATTAACGTGTAGATAAGTTGTCATCTGCACCATCTAAAAGCTATCACCCTTTTGATACCAGTAATGTCTGTCTCGTGCCTCAAAAGGGCTTGTTCAATCGTTTGTTGACACAAAAATTGGAGAAGAGAGTGGGAGGGGGGCGTGAAATAAAGTATACTGTATTTTGTACATATTCTTTGCAAATTTACCGCAACTATAACATAATTCAATCCTTTGCAGAAAGTTACAATGTGGGAGGTACATTATAGGAAATAAATGAAAACTATTCAGGACACATAACATATATCCATACTTACATTTGATTCTGTTGTTTTTTTCGTGAATCAACTGAGAAGGGTGTTTTGTTTTGTTCTACAAAGTTGAAAAACAGACAAAACGGATGACTCTCAGAGTCCCAGGCTACATAAAAAAACACAATTGTGCTAACGCGAGAAGTCATCATACTGACTACTTCCAACACATTTATTCTTACAGAAATTTTGAGGAAAACGCTGATGACATTGTGCTGAAGTAACATGGCGGATGAAAACAAGGAGGGCGGAGGAGACAAGTCGCGTGCATCGAGCGCCAAGTCCACCAAGTCCAAGTCAGGTTCTAAACCAGGAACACCCAAAACACCTAGAAGTAGGGCTGGAAGTGGCAAGGGTAAAGATAAACGTATGTTTATTACTAACAAACAACTTTTGCAAAATGATGTCTGTATCTGTATCTGTATTGCTGGTATAACTGCCCTTCGACATAACACACACTGTCAATATCATTATTAGACTGACAGTCTATTTATGTTTGCTAGCATTATGATGCCACTTACTAGAAAATAGTCCCAAATCTCTAGACCAACATGCAATTAACAATGTTAGTACCAGTAGTTGTTTCAAAAGTAACTTATTAAGTTAAGATATGTACTAGTATACATGTGTATCAGAATCCTGGTCATTTATCTGTGAAATGTCGTCTGTTTTTGTTTCCAACAGCCAAGAAAGAAGATGATGTGAAAACAGAAGAAGAAAAACCTGCAACTGCAGATGCACCTCAGCCTACTGACAAACCAGTCCCACTCCCAGGTTAGTGGAGTAAACATGTACTGGGCAATAAACATGTAGTGAGTCTAGCGACAGTCACTATTGTGATTATTTTGTACTGTCACACAGGTAACATCATTTATGTACCTTGTTTCTAAGATTTTGTTGCACCTTTTAGCTGTTCCTGATGACATCACAGACATCCTTGCCATCTTCCTGGCCACCAAGACTCAGGAACTGTTCGAGTGCCGCGCAGACGAGGATGTGACGTCAGACAACCCTTACAAACTCCTCAAGAAAGAGGACATCATTCAAGACATGAAAACCAGGGCTGCTGTCTCCGACTTCAGTCCAGCAAAACAACTTGTCATGGTGTGATTCAATAGAATCTTACAATGACGCTCTGTTAGAACTTTCACAATAACCATCTATTCAAATAGTGCCTCTTTGTCTCCCTATACTAAGCGTTGAGTGTGAGTGCAGATAATTTAATATTAGTGGTAAACAGTAGCAACTAAATCAGAATAAGGAGCAATGCCCAATTGTGGTATTTACTGCATGCCTCATTTGCACAATCTACAAATTGTGTATACTTCTTGTCACTGGTACCCACAGGCACTGTTTATACCTTTGTGGCCAACAAACAGCTAAAAAGGACTACACTACATACAGTATTTTATAATGACTTGGTAGCACATAAAACAGCTTTTTTGTTCCTGCTAACACCTTCCAATGATGACATTTCAGGACTATCCAGGAGAGGAACTGCTGATAGTCTATGACTATGACTTCAAGCACGGCCAGAACTTCTACCTGATAACTACAGAGGAGAGCAAGGACAGGATCTTGAATGTAAGTGGAAGAAACGTTGTGTGAGTTTACAAGAAGTGCAACTTACTGACTATAATATTGTGTGCTATTACAGAACTTGTCTTTCCTCAGGGATTCCAAAATATCTCAATAAATGCTGTGTGCCATCCAAGTTGATTTCAAGCATGGTCTACTACATGTAAAAATGTATATACATAATGCACTAAAACTCATTGCCCCCACAGCCTCAAAAGGCTATGGGATTGCATATTACTTTTACCTGCATGTACATGTATGTATGTTAAAACTTTCCAGTTTAATGTTACAAGCTAGCTACAGGTAGAAACAAAGCTTCTAGCCCATAAAGTTTTTCAACTCAAATTGTCTATGGGGTAGCACTGACAATTTCAATTCAATTTATTTTATTTAACCAGTAATTACAACTCAGGCCAATTTGGCCTGCTTTTCAGGTAATCCTGGATACATATAAAAATACACACAACAAATATACATTACATAAACTATTACTAAAATTACAACATCCTAAACATCAAGAGTGTCAAATCCTGCACCTAATGCTCTGTATAAAAGTCCTAAGAAGTCCTGCTCCTAATGATCTGTATTAAAAGTCCTGAGAAGTCCTGCTTCTAATGTTCTGTTTAAAAGTCCTGAGACTAAGGAGCTGTCGTTGCTGTAGCGGAAGAGTGTTCCACAGGTAAGGACCATAGTACTGTAGACTGCTCCGGTATGCCGTGACTCTTGCTGGTGGACAGAAGAGTAGGTGAGGGTCGTAGTCCCTAAGACGCTTTAACTCTGAGCGAGTAGTCCGTACGCTTAATGTTGGAGGAGTCTCCCACTTGAACAGAGATGCCATGTACACCGGCGCACTACCACGAATTGCCTTAAAGACATTGACAAGAGTTGTGATTTCTGTCCGTTTGCGCACAGAATCTATCCCTGCCTCAGCTCGCAAGTTAACCGCTGAGATGCACATGTCTTAGTATGTTGTTGTATTCTGCCCAGCCACCCAGGCCAGGAGGTGAGGGAGGAGTTGAGGGAGGTGAGGGTGGTGAGGAGGAACAGGTGGTTGAGTACAAACCCCCCGTGCCCAAGGACTGGGTCTCATACGGCAGTGAGAAGGAAATCGCAGAGGAGGCTTTCGGAGAAACTCGCCCCAAGGTCTGTATCTGTCATAGTCTGTTGATACTGTATGCAAATGCCCCTCACCAACCACTTGTGTCATATAATATACTGCATATCCTAATCATCCAAATCTTTATCAATTTTATGTAATCGCATTTTCTTCCTGATCATGACATTCCTTATTCTTCAGAAAGCGTTCAAGATTGCCAGACCGCGGCGTGAGTTTGGCGCTCCGGTCAACTTCACGGACAGAGACGTGAAGGACGTGAAAGACGGCTACATGGAGTGTACGCCGTACGACGATAAGAACTTCTCGCTGCATCTGTTGGAGCTGGACAAGGCTACCCAGGCCATTGCTACATGGACAGACTGTTCCAGTCAGACTGACTGGTAGGGTTCTCTATATATTTTCACAAGCAGCCTGCTTCTAGCTTGGAATCTATCCCTATTTTTTCTCCATTCTCCTTAAAGTTTGTACTGGATAAGAGAAAATAGGGATGGATACTACAGTCACAGACTTAAATTTTGTGATCATCAATGTAAATTCTAATTTAGACGATCTTTTCCGTATATCAACTGTGTCTAGATATTTACACCTTGAAAAAATGCTGATATTTGACCTTGGGAGGAAATATATACAATGGTTACCAGGGGGTGGGGGGTGGACAACAGTGACAAAACTTCCTATTACTGTACCATTCCAGAAATAAAATTAAACCTTCTACCAGAGACATTTATTATAGCATCATAATCTATAAATCGGTCTTCAGGCAGAACTGTGTTTTATGAAAATATATCACACTGTATTATCAAAGATGAAAAAAAACACAAAATGTTTTGACATTCGAACTGAACTTTCTAGGAAAGATCCACTTATTATGATTGATAGAATAATATTTGTGTTAACTCCCCAGGAAGTACCCACGCAACGCTGTAACACAGTATCAGCCCAGGGAGTTCACTGAGGAAGAGAAGGAGAAACTCTCCAACTCTACAGAAGTCAAGGTCTTCATTGAAGGATCAATTCCAAGGTACATGTAAATAGTCATTCAGTTATAGGTCACAGCAAGGTTTTCTGTTACCTGTTGCAGTGCATCTAAGTTTTACAAAGCTACAAGTATCAAGTGCTTTTGAGGAACAACACCATATACTAGTAGCTAACATTTAGTCCCAAACCTTTCCATACAGATTTGAGCTGGCCCTGCAGCAGAATGAGATAGTGGACGTGTTCTTTGATGACTGGGCAGCCCTGGCCAGCGATGACGCCACGTTTGGAAGCAAGTCAGACGGTCATCTGAAGGAGTACCAGTCCTTCACTGACCTACAGTTCAGTAAGGATAAAACCATCACCTGTATAGATTGGCACCCCAATCTGAAAGGTGTGTGTCCCATCATTATTGGTCTGGTACTTAAGAGTTTATAAGGCCACACTGACTTAATTTTAGGGATGACATCCTCTAAGGACCCCCAAAGTAGTGTGTGGATGAATAAGAAAATTTCTAGCCAAAAATAATGATGCTCAACCACAGGAATACAAAGCTGGTATTGCAGGTATTGTCAATTTGTGGTAGTACATAGCGACTTTATGACAAGCTGGTGCATGCCGGCCTTTTGCGGCATTTCTGTATCAGCATTGTGCTGAGTTCTTGAGTTTCATGGAGTGTCGGCAACCTAGGTGCCATCCTCTGTAGTTACTGCCGGCTCCCTACTGTCGGTAGCTTCCATGGACTATGGAGGATGGCACCCAGGTCAGAGCCTCCTCGGAGATGATTTTTTTTTAGAACAGGTGAAAATCAATGTGCACGTGGATGTCATACATAAGATAAAATTGTCCAAATAGAATAGTTCAAATGAATTTATAAATCATCAAAATGACATTTCAATAAACGTTTGCTTCTATAATGATAATGTTTAGAAGTACATGTACAACAATGTATCTTTTCAAGGTATATAGGCCTTTAAAATTGACAGATAGATTTTCTTCACTCAACATTATGAATTGCTGGTTGGTTGATTTGCCCTGTGTCTGTTGTAGGTGTGATAGCGGTGGCTTGTTCTGAGAGGCTGACCTTTGACCAGAGGGTTGACAATGCCTCTAAGACGCTGATGACGCCATCGCTGATTCTCATCTGGAGCTTTACTGATCCCATCCACCCACAGGTAGGGTAGGTCAGGAAGGAGGGAATGAAAGATGGGCCAAAGGAATGACAAAATAACAAATTGATCTGAATTTGGATAGGGGCTAAATACAAGGTTTAAAATATGCACTCTTGCAGCACAAGTCATGTTTTCTGTGTGAGACTTATTGGAGATACTAGGTTGGTTTGCATACTAAGCAACTATTTTATAGTTTTACTGCAGCCCGGCTTCTCAAATACATGTACACTAAAATAAAAAAAACAGTGTTAATCATGATAGTAACCTGAAATGTTAGCTTTTGGCATGGAATATGACACTTCACTCCGGAACTTTAATTTGTAATCTTTATGAAAATTTTTGGCTTATTTTATTTTAACTGCAGTTTCATGATCCCAACTGAATTACATGTTAGCACTTACAGAGTGTAAAAAAACTGCAATACACTCAACAGCTCAAATGTTTCTGTTTCACTTTTCTCTCAGCTCTTGTTGGAGGCACCAGACGACATTTTCTCCTTCCAGTTCAACCCTTCTGACCCCAACATCATCGCAGGCGGCTGTATCAATGGTCAGGTTGTCCTGTGGGACATTTCTCAGTACTTTGACCGTCTGAAGAACCCACGATCGGGCGGGAAACTCAAGCAGAACTCTATGAATGCCTTGGTGAGTATTGAAAGTGGAGACAATGTTTGTTTTGTCTTAGCTTCACTGACAAATATTTTTCTTGGACCGTTTCCACAATACAATGTACTGGTATGAATATTGACAGCGTTTTGATTGTTGTGACATCCTTTTTATTCCTTCTTTCAACAATCCTGAGACAAGGGGAAGAAAGCAAGACTTATCTTGCAGTTCTTGCCCACATCTGGAGTACCGTTGCAATTTTCTGAATCCTGTTTATGGCCAGCTGCCAGCCTTAGTTTTTGTCTTTAGTACATTACCTGCAAAAGTGACTGAGAAAGCATGCTAAAGCTAGAAAGGAATTCGGGCAGCTATTTTTTTATTGGTTGAAGTTGACTGTTCATTACTGCAGCAGTATTTATGACTTGTACAATTTTTTCCAGCCTGGATTTGAGGATGAGAATGCGCTGGCCATCCCCATCATCCGTTACTGTGCCGTGTCGTCCATAGAGAACAGCCATCACCTGTCCATCACAGACATACAGTGGATCCCTGACCATCTGGAGGTACATATATCATATACTTGTGCTCTTAGCACTGCTCCCTTGCAGATTTATATTGTATTGCACCACAGGGGCAGGGCATTGCTCTGGTGACCCCTAACCCTCTAAGTGTGTCAAGACTTGGTCCTCTCACCAGTTGCATCTGGTTCTGAGGTGACCAGTACCATGTGAGTGTTCAGCTCTGAAATTATGTACCACAAATGCTATTCTACTGTTAACTGGTGACTGATTTATTCTGTGACTGGTTTATTCTTTGTCTGTGACTGGTTTATTCTTGGTCACTACTAATTCTCCTTTCTCCTAATATCTAGATCAACAGATATGGCCTCCCAGTGTACAACAAGCATGGGGACTGCAGCCAGATCCTGACATGTGCAGGGGACAGCTGTGTCATGGTGTGGGACACCAGGGCTCCCAAGGTCACCTTGAACCCGCTAGAGGCCAAGAAACAGGAGACTGCCCACCCCTTGGGCATCCCTGCGACCTTCAAACACCTGGATCTGTCCTGGAAACCTGTTCTCAAGGTATCATACACTAGCACGTTGGCAGGATGTACTGCATCCGCGCTAAACCTGTAACGTTAATGTATTGTGCATGGCATCTTGTTTTATGGTCATATTTGAGTATTTAAGGATGACTCTCTGTCTATAGTTTTCAAATGTTGTGTCAGAAGAGGTATTGTCTGCAAGAAACAAAATTCTGCAACATTGACCAATCATTCAACAAAAAATCTTGAAAATCTTTTTAAGCAAGTGCATAACGTTCTGTCTACATGCTCCATGCTCTCATTTTATATAAATTAACTCTAACCTATTGTTGTTGTGTGCTCTATCCCACAGGTGTCCCTGCCCAAACCTGACACCAACGGAGAATTTGCCCCCCTGAAGGTCAGCATCAAGGAGAGGCAAGGTGACAAGGCACATGGTAAGACCTGTACAGCTGCTCTAAACATAGGCTTGATGATTGTGAAGGGAATGTAGACTGTTACATACTCTTCAGTTTCAGCACCAAGGAAAGACCCCACTGCCAATTTCAAGCACAAAGAAAAGCAATGTTATCTGAGTATTAGAACAGCACCATACAAAGGATATGTTCAGTGTCTGTATGATATTAGTTGGTTAATGTGACTCTTAGTATAACTGAGAAGCCCACAGTTTTACAACAGGTTATTTTGATTACTTCTGACTTGTATCCTTCATAGATAACCATTTCAGCACCAAGGAAAGACCCCATTGCCCATTCCAAGCACAAAACAAAAGCAATGCCATGTTTCATCTTTTTATCATTTAATAGCACTACGCAAAAGGAATGTTCTGTAATTTTACAGTGTTAAATTCCTATGTAAAATCCCTGAGATGCCCACAGTTATACAATAGGTTGACCTGACTGCCTTTGCTTTGTGTTTCCCAGTTCAGAAACAGATAGAACAGCTTGAGAGGGAGGCGTTAGGAGGGGGCATGAGGAGAGAGAGCACCATGGGTGGGTTTGGGAGATCCCGATCGGCTAAAGACCAGAAACCTCTGGAAGGGGTGACCACCAAGTTTTATATCTCAACTGAGGTACTTGTTTTTGTTTACTTGTTTATTTATTGAGAGTAAATGGATGATAATATCAAAATATGCTAGAAAGCCCATCACTGATTGTAAAAACACATTGAATTTCTCATTCATACTACTTACCGTAGTCTTTGTAAGGTTGCTTAGTCTCATAGTACATGTGTGTTTGACATATAGTAGTAAATGTAGATGCCATTGTACAATTGTCCTGCAATAATATTTGTTGTTGTATTTGAATAGATCTGCCCTTAGATTTCTTTTTGGTTTTACACACTGTCATGTTATGATTAAGACTTATTGCTAGTAGTGAGTGCTATGAGAAAAAATTCTCATTTTTTTAACATCATTGTTTTTGTGTAGGATGGAGAGGTGGCGTATGCAGACATGAAAATCGAGAAGGATCAAGACTCTGGGAAAATGACAAGTACGTATAAGATTTTCTGATGTGTGAAGCAAAGTTTAACTGTAACAGTAAATTCAGAACACAAAAAATAGACTAACAATAGTAACATATCCTAAATGTATTGCAACATTATGTAACCATGCCATGGTGACAGACGTCTGGTCCTGATCATTGACCTTATATGTTTGGAACGGACAAAGAAGAAGAGGAAGAAACTGAGCAAAAACAATATGTTTTCCTTCGATAAACATAAAAATTACATCTTTGCTACTTTCCCCCAGATCCCAAGCCTTCCTGGTACAGTGCCCTCCATGGCGGCCCTGTCCACACCCTTCAGAGGTCCTTCTTCTTCAAGAACATCATTCTCTGTGTCGGCGGCTGGACATTCTCCATCTTAAAGGAGGAGAATCAGGTATGGAATTGCTTATATTAATTAAAACATGCTCCTAAGTCTACAGTCAAAATGAAGCTGTAGATTTTTACAGGGAACCAGGCTTGATTTGATTTGATTTATTGAAGTTGCAACAGTGGGACACAGGCAACTGTTGCTGGTGTTGACAGACAATATTCATTTTCACTTGAGTTAAGTGAGGAAAGTCATGTAAAGTGTCTTTTCCAAGGGCACAAGATCGGTGGCATGTCAGGACTCAAACCTGGGTCCTCTTGGTTCCGAGTCAAGCACTCTGCCATTGCGCCAAACAACCCCATGAATGAAACTTAACTTTCTGCTTTTTGATCCCATCAGCTGGGCCCGCTCCTCTCGTCCTGCTGCTCTCAGAAGAAGTACACGGCGGCCCACTGGTCTCCCACGCGGCCCGGCGTGTTCTTCATCGCCACGGAGGAGGGAAACGTGGAGGTGTGGGACCTCCTGGACAAGACCCACGAACCCACGCTGACTCAGAACATCACTGCCTGCAGCATCACACGCATCTTCCCCTGGCAGATCTCAAGTGAGCTGCAGGCCTGCTGTTAAGGGCACCCGATGCAATTCTAGAGTGGCAAATATTCTGGATAAGGAAATCTGTCTGATATTGGCATTTACTGCCTTTTCTTACTATGTTTTCGTTGTCTTTTCATAGATACCATTTGAAATTGCGCAGAAACAAGCTTCATGTGGAGTCTCTTAATTCTTTTTGGTCCAACCTATAAATACAGTGTAGCTACATTGTAGAATCAACCATAATACCAAACAAGCAATGATCAGAAACTTGACTTTGAAAATCCAGTTTTCCTGCTCTGAAATTAATTTGGGTGCCTTTGGGATGGTTTTAGTATGGTCATAACTTGAACATGCTTTTTAGTAGTTTGTGATTAAGACCTGTTTTGTACAGTTTAATTCAAAAATGATACTGTGACTACTACAATGTTCCACCTATATCCCAACTATTGTACTATCCTGTAGGTAAGCAGCAGTTATTGGCAGTGTCAGATGACATGGGAACGTTACACATCCTGGAGGTACCATGGAACCTGCGACATCCATCCTCCAATGAGGTAAGCTAAAAGTTCAGGAAGACTTAGTGTAGCGGTGGTAAATGTTGCATTTTTTTAACACTCAACATGATGTTACATCAAACAAAATTATGACAGAAAAAATCTCAGGCTTGCTAGAACACTGATGTCCTGTCTTTGAAACCTGTTGAAAATAATCTCGCCCCCCCCCAGGCCACGAGTATCCAGAACTACTTTGAGCGAGAAGAGAAGCGGCTAGAGTACTACGTGGGCAGGCTGGCATTCAGAGAACAGGAGAAGAGAGAGATTGACGCAGAGGAACAGAGAATCAAGAATGTAAGGAACACAATCTTGTCTGATGTAGTAACTTGTCAAGGTTAACTAAGATGCAACGATGAAGGTTAGACATCCAGGTAATAAACTCGTTGAAAATGCCTTCCCTTGCTTATGCCACATTTGATGCCACCTTTCCCAAAAGCACAAGTACGGTTAGAAATAATGCATAGAACTGACTATGGCTGTTCCATCCACCAGGCCCCACCCCCTGCGGAGGAGAATGAAGAACAGGTGCAGGAGAAGATGAGGAGGGAGTACGAG